TTTCAGTTTATTTCAATTTATCTCAGAAGACACTAAAAGCCAGAGAGAGAGAGAGAGAGAGAGAGAAGAAAAGTTGGGATATATCTTAACGTTACGATAACTACTTGTTTGTGAAGTGAAGGTCAACGCAAAACTTCTTAACCGTCACTATTGGTACCTTTCATATCAAGTTTTCTCGGAGTCGTGTTTTCGTAAAAACGTTTTGCTCTTCAGATGAGATGAGCGTCTCATAAAACTTGAGTGAATTCAGTGAATAAGTTTACAAACGCTTTATAAGTTAATAGCGTTTTTCAGAGATATATGTGGAGAAGAAACGCCAGAATATTGTAAATAACTATACATTTTGTATAAATTATTGTAATCTACATCTCAGAAAAATGTAGACCTTTTCCCTAAAATAAATATTCTCATTGAATGTTCTGTTATGTTGTCCAGTATATGGTGTGCTCTCGTCTTAATTGAATATTTAATAATAAAATGTGTTTATAATTGTTTAATAAACTCTAAAGGAAATTATTCCCAAAATATATTAAAAATCAATTCCTCGTTGTTTTCAAGAAATCAAAAGTTAAATTTAAAAGAATATTATTTTAAAATAATGTGATTTTTATTAAAACTTTATTAATGTTGTTTTAATATCGATTACTTATTATGATTGATAATTATTAACTGTTGAATTTGCGGCACTATTATAGGAAATGAGATTTGGTTTTATTTTTTAAACACATTAAAAGTTTTAATCCTCAAGAAGTTGTGCCACACTTTTACACGAATAAAAACTAAAATGTCTTTTAATATAAGTTTTATTAATAAAAGTTTGATATTTGAAAAGTGTGTATATTTTCAGTGTTTAACTGTTAATATAAGTAGTTTTTGTGTTTAAACCGTTAACTTTTACCCGCAAATGATGGCCATTAGAAACAATTTTCTACTCATTAAACGTTCTTCACTTATAATCACAATTGTGTTGAAATTAACGCTTTTTTGTTGCACTAATGCCCAGAAAAATGGTAAGATTTCTATCCACACATTAGTTCCTGAATTTCTTTTCATTTCACTGCCTGTAATCTGTGTCCAGAAATTTCTGTTTTATAACTTTTGTATTTCACATTATTATTTATTAAATAACAATCAATTCATAGTCTATGATATGAGTAGTAAAAGTATAGGAATTGAATGCCTATTGTATTGATGAGCGCATCGATGGTCTCAAACATAGCGTTGGGATGCGTTGGCAGAAGCCGTTGTTTCACTCCCAGACCTGTCGACACCGCTATTCAAATATTACATTCAAATTATATCACTGTTTAGTAAATTGCTTGTAATATTATCTGTGAAACAATTTTCTTAATAGAAAACACGAATTTTTTTATAAAGAATAAAAATATTATTCACAAAAAGCTATGAATCGTGAAAAATATTTTTATCATAAATAACATATCGCATGAAATAATATTAAAATCATTATATGAAATTAAACTGAATTATACTGTATATCCGAAGCTCAAGGGATTAGTTTGTATATGAATTGTCTGTTCCGTAGGGCTGAAGGCAAATATGTATATAATTTTGTTTCACAGAAAATGCATTTTAGGATAATTTTGCTATTAATTTCCACATACAATATAATCTCTCATCTCGTCTATGCTTTTATATAAAGTTGTTAAAAACCGAGAGTTTTTGCGGACATTAAACGCTTTTAATTTATGCAAAACTTGCAAATTATAGGCTTAAGCGTTGCATAAAATTATTCCTTGAATTAATCATATTGTTGTTGATTGTGATAAACAGTCCACATATTAATCCATAACTAATTGTATCCCTCAATCTTCTTCCAGATGTCTGTCCCTTCGGAGGTGTCGTAACGTTTGAGTTGATTACCGGACATGTATTCTCTGCGCCGTCGGATACGATGACACAGATGTTGCCGGGAGTACTACACCTGACTGAGTGCCTGCACTCGTGTCTCACGAACGACACGTGCAAATCAGTCAACTTCGAGACCGGATTATGTGTTTTGTTGGGCTCTTCAGCCACCGAAAGGCCCAAAGCGTTGGCTTCGTCTCAGTTTCCAGTTTTCACTATTTATGCCCAAAAAGTGTGTTTAAAAGGTAAACATTTAATTTATTAATCAATCACTTGCGCCCAAAACACACACGCATTATATCCACCAAAATATATTTCACAGTTTTGTTTTATCTCGGGTTACGTTTGTATACAATGGGATCATTAATTGATTGAGTGTTAAAACAAGTATTTTGTTTCTCTTTTGTCTAATTCCTCATTATTTTATTACTTATAGAATATATGTATGAAAAATAACTCGAGATTTAAGTGATAGTCAAAAGCTAAGAGTTTTCGTACTCCGAGTCTTCAGATTAAGTATAGGACATAAAAATGATTAATCGCTTGAAATTAACATATTATTGAGGATTGAAATTGAATGTTAGGCTCTGTTTTTGGCGAAACATTTGTAAATTAAAATAATTATCGAGAAAATTCCAGCACTTGTTGTTTATTACATAATTATAAGTATAGCCAAAGGATAGCCAAACTCTACAGAAAAGAAAAATATTTTCATAACTATTGAAATAAATCAAACACTCGCTTACAATACAAGTACTATATTATAACCACAATTACATGAGGGCTTTGATAAGTCTTTTGGTACCCCTTCGCGGGCTTTCCATACAATAAGGAAACCGAATAATAAACAAATCAAATGAATAATGAATGTAAGCATTTTGTGAGCCGAAAATATAAGAGCTTAACATAAATGTATTAAAAAGTTGTTTTAATACATTGTAAATGCCATATAATTGTCGATTTAATGAAGTGCACGCATAGTTTTATGATATCATTAATGCTAATAATGTAATATTGATTAAAATTTATTTTTATTATTTGTCAGACAAGAATAAGTCCTGTACTCAGGGCTGGGCTTTCGAAAGAGTCAATGGTTTTGAATTGAAAAGAATGGGCAAAAAGAGTGTTAAAGTGATGTCAAGACTCGATTGCATGCAATTGTGTCTCAATGAGCGAGACTTTGAGTGCCGATCAGTTAATTATGACACCGATAGCCACGAGTGTTCCCTCTCTGATATGGATAGACATACAATCAATATAAACAATGAGCTCAGGTCTAGAAAGTATGGCCCGTCTTCTGGTACTGTCGACTATTTGGAGAACAATTGTATTCAAGGTTTGCATTGAATGAAAGAACGAAACAATTCTTTTGTGATCTTTTGACATTAAAATGATTGATAACTTTCTAAAAATTACTTTTTTTAGAGCCAAAAATGATGTGCGATATTCGACCCATTAATGGAAAGATACTGAAAACTGTTGATTCAGTTTACGAGACCGTGAAGACCATCGAGGAATGCAAAGAGAAATGCCTGAATAGTCCCTATCGGTGCCATTCATTTGATTTCGGAGACCCGACTAATAGTGTCTGTCGAACGAGTCATTTGGATAAGAATTCTTTAGCCCATATCGAGAATCCATACATTGAAATAACCGGTGCCACCACTTATGAGCTCTTGTCGTGTTATAATGGTTTGTATTCATATTTTTTCTCTTTTTAATGTATTTGTTTGCGGCTTTTGCTTCTTTGTTGCCGTCTTTTCAACTTTCGCTTTCCTTTTCTTTGTTCCGCTAATTTTTTTTGTGCTTTTTTAGTGACAATTCTTTGTCGCTCACGAGAAATGGTGGCAAAAGTTCGGACAACAAAAGTATTTGATGGAAAAATTTATGCCAAATCTAAGCCAAACATTTGCGTTCAAGACATCAGCAATAGTCTGGAGTTTGAGATTAAGATGAAGTACAACGACGTTGAGTGTGATGTTAAACAGCAAAGCAAAGGACAGTTCACTAATGATATTGTTATACAACATCACGACATGATTGTCACCACTCAGGACCTACTGCTCAATGTTCACTGCAAATACGATCTCTCAAACAAAAGCATTTCAAATAATGTCAATCTGGCGGTCGACGGGTGAGCGAAGCATAACTTGTTTTTAATATGACTTTTATTATCTCAAAATCAAATATTTCTTTTTCTTCCCACTCTTTATCTTCTCAAATGTTATGTCGTTTCTAATTATTTAATAATACAAATAATTATGTAATTTTTTATAAGAAATTATTTATAAATTACCGTAGTAATGTTTTAGGGTTTGGTATTTGTAATTACAAACTTCTGATTTGCATATTGTTCTCTTACTTCCATGAGATTCATCTCGTCTTAAAATCAGATAAAATATGAAAAATTGCTCAATTTTTCACTGTATTTAAGAGAAATATATCTTAATTATGATATCATGAGTGACTTTTTCCCATTAATTGCATATCCTTTGAGTCCCATTTACTCACTCTTTTACACGCTATTAAAATCAATTGACTTATACTGTACTTCATATTTGAGTCTATAATTGATTCATTCATTAATTTTAATTCACATATTATTAAATCGGAAAATAATTTGCAACCGTTTTATGCAAAATATATTTTCATTCTTTCATAATATGGTTATTATTTAACAAAATACACGTCAAAACACTGATTAGAAATTTAAATTAACTTTTAAAACAGTTAATGTTGTGAACATTTCTCACACAAAAACAATACTTGATTTTGTCTTCCTATGAATGTTTGCATTCTTCTATGTTTTCAATGGATATATAAATTTCTATTATCTTTGAAGTCATTCATCGTTTTTTAATTACTTTAAGGAAATTAAATTTAGCTCATCTTTTCTTACCATCGATGACCTCAACCTTTTTTGATTTACTCAATGAGACTTTACTTCATTTGAATATTCAGATTAAGTGCTTGTAATGCCTTTCCTTATCATAATATGGGAGATCTTTTACCATGTATTAAAAGTCGTACACTTTGTTCACACCTACATATCTTTGATTCTTTTTTAAAACCATTGTTTTATTATTTCAAATTAATATTGGTTAGATTTAACCGATTAAAACCATTTTTAATAAAAGTTTATAATATATTTGTTATCCATATTCTGAACGTTTACAGAGACGTCGATACGAGTGGCAGTCATTCAGAAACCGTGAGTTCGCCGAACGTTACGATGAAAATCACAGATTTGTTCAGAAGTGATATCTCTTCAGCACAAGTCGGAGATTCACTTTTGTTGAGGTTTTCTATACTGGAAAAGTCGAGTGAGTTTTCATACATTTTTCTCACGAATACGTTACGATGAAAATCACAGATTTGTTCAGAAGTGATATCTCTTCAGCACAAGTCGGAGATTCACTTTTGTTGAGGTTTTCAATACTGGAAAAGTCGAGTGAGTTTAAATACATTTTTCTCACGAAATGCTTACAAAATATCATACATTACAACAATTTTATAACTTCACTTATTTTTATATAATACGGGTTATAGAAATCAGATTTACAACAATTTTTAAGCTCTTTTTAAATAATTTCAGATATAATTTTCAGTAA